GGGTCTGCAGCAGCAAGGACAGGAGGCTTTTTGCCTGCCTCATCCTGCCCATGCATCCAGGCTATCCATCCCTCCCATCCTGCTAACCATAACCACAGCATGCTCAGAGAGTGAATTATTTGGCAAAGCCTTAGTGCCAGAGAAGGGAGATAAATTCCTCACCTACATAATCTCCTTCCCCTCGTTAGTACGGCCTTTTCAGAGCTACTCTCTAAGGTGAATAGAAACAACAGCGTCTCCACTGGTTAAATCATTGCTCTGTAGCAAGCTCCTCTAGAAGCCTATCCCACTAGGCTCTTACTAGCTGCTAAAACATTGACCAGGATCATAAGCAGCCCCACTGAGAGATGGCTCAGCCCTTACAGCTAAACCATACCTGGGATCTTCACTTATTACTTAATGGGAAGACACTGATCAGGGCATTGGAAGATGGCTCGTGACCTTAATATCACAGCATATGAAGCAGCAGGAGCTAGGCAGAAGCTTCCTTGTAACAAAATGTGGTCTCACTTGGAGCAAATTTATCTAGGAGAATGTTAAGCTGTAAATGCCAAGTTAATTAGCCCTCATACATAATTTGTTTTTAAAAATACACTGTCGTCTCCTTCTGGAGGAACAAGAGCCCATTTTCCCCTTCTGTTAGCCTGAAAAGTCAGTCTGAGAAATGTCATTGAAGCCTAAACCAAGAAGCATCATGATGTTTTTAGTAGAGGACCTCTCTGTGAGTAGGAGCTTAAAATCCACAGATGTCGTCTCTAAACCTGCCAAGCCAGAAGGCCAAATAGCCCTTCCCCTAGCACCACTCGGAGCAGACCCACTTCACTGGATTCTCAAACGTCTGCACTGTTGAGACCCAGCTTCCCTGTTATGCCAGCTCCAAGTCGTGTTTTGCCCAATTATGAGTTTTCTCCTTTGCTGCCAGCACCCAAAAAGGCTACTGGCAAAATCCTGGTCATTTTTTGTGTGTCCTGATCTCTACTGGCTTGTGCAAAACCAGGTCACTGGGCTGCAATGCACTCATGCTGGGCTTTGTCTTCCACCCAGGGATTCTGAAGTGGGTTTTTTTGATTTGTGATACAGGGAAGACCAGTTACTCACCCCTAATTACATTTTTCTTTTCAAATTAATAGCCAGCGCTGTCTGGTGTTGAAGACTTTCTCAGATGGAGCCTGTTTGCCCTTGTTCTCCATGATTCAGCTGTCAAGTACGTGTTCACTCATTTTCCTTCATCTGATCTGTTGTGAAGGAAGACAGGACTGAGATTTATAGCAATACTTTAAAACACACTGTTTGTCTTATTGAGAACATAGGTCTCAGTATTGTTCCTTCCCTTTAGCAGTATTTTTCAGCACTGCCTTTGCCGGCATTGCCATTGAGAAGGTCCACAGCTGGCAACGCCTGGAAAACATGGTGGCCAGCTGGGCGCCGTGGGGCTGCAGGTAACAGCCATACTTTGCCCTGCCTACCATTTCCTTACAGCAGGCAGATTTTTAGCTGGCTGGGTTCAGGTTGCTTGTCCCAGGCTTCCTGGCAGCCCTCTCTTAGTGCTTCATCGCTTGGGAGGAGCAACGCTGCCTGTCTTCTGCCACCAAGCTAGGGCACGAGGTTTTCACACCCATCATGTCACCCATGGGGCTGCTGCCCAGCAAAAGCACGGGGACACTGCAGCTGCAGCCCACTGCATGCCAACACGGGCCCTGCGGCTGCAGCCCAGCCCAGCCCAGCCAAGAGTGTGCTGATGCCAGACACCACGGCACGGGGCACGGGCACGGGCCGGTGCCAGCCCCACAGGCAGTGAACCCCCCAAAGGCACCTCGGGGTGATAGCGGTGTCCTCACCTGCAGTAGCAGTGTCTGCACGTCCACTGCAGGGAGGAGGTTGTTTTTCCTGGTCTTTGAGAAAGAGGTGAAAAGAGGTGAGCAGTAAATCAGTGCTGGCCCTGCCACTGCTTAGGGGCACATGTGGTCAGCAGAGGTGAGACACGCAGGGCTGAAGCGGCATTAAGAGCTCCCCACCTTCTGCAGATACATCACCTGTTTCTAGGATACTGAGCGGTTTTACATTTAATGAGCATGTGGCTTTGCACCTCGTTCCTTTGTGTGCGACGAGATGCTTTTCTGGGGAGTCCAACTGCGTCTCACAGCGGGGGCAGCCACAAGCCCCAGGCATCTATCCTGCTGCATTCAAAAAAAAGAAAAAGATAAAGTCCCTTCAGCGTCCCCCCAGCTAGTTCTCCCGCTGCCGTGGCTTTCTGTTATTCCTGAACTCCTGGTATTTTTAGGTTGTTGACTGTCTTCACACCCACTTTGAGAGTGATGAAGTCTCATCCTAGGGAAGCGGTGGCAGTGCCACTCTAGTAACAAAATCATTAAATCAATTGCTTTTTCAGCAATGCCATTTCTAGTGAAATGTCACCTATACCTACAATGTCATCTCCAGAGCCTGTAGTCTTTCGTCACTGATGTGGTTTTTAACAGAAGAGGAGACCAGCCCATGGCTGAGCTACCCTCAACAATGCACAGCCCATGAAAAAGGGAAAAAATTTGGCTTACAAAAAGGAACAGACTTTCAATTGATGGAAACCAAATACCTCACATCCATCTATTAAGTGAGCAGGTGGTAAAGCAATATAGACCTTAACTGATGTTTCCCTCATAAAATAAATCAAGGAACCTACAGCTCTAAATCGTATGTTTATATTGAAATAAGTCATGTAGCTATTTGCTTCTGAGACACACGAATCAGATTTGTTTTCACAACATGTTGAGCATCTTTATCATCAGCAAAACAGTAATAGAAAAGCCCATAAAAAGGACCTCCCTGGAGAACTATTAGATAACAGATTACCCTGCAGATAGCTGTGGAGAGATGCCCCAGCAGGTCTCATCTAATCAGCTGCTCTGCTGGCAAAGGCGATGAAAAAACATTGGTGAATCTCAGCAGGCTACAAAATGCGTGTGAATAACGTTGCTGTAGGGCTACTCCTGGCAATGTCCTCTCATGTTCTGCTCGGATCAGCAGCAAGTGCTGCTGCAGAGCAGCCAGCACAGAAAGAGTTAAACTGGACCATCAGCTCCATAGCTGCTTGGACCAATGTGGAGAGGAAGACGTTGGGGTCACAGGGAGAGCCCCACTCTGCAGCCCCAGGGTGCTCCTCCTCCTCTGCTAATGCCTGCCCGTGTGGCCTCAGGTGCATCACTTACAATGAAATACAAACATCAATTGAGAGCCTGACAGCCACTCTCCACCAGCTGTCCAGATCTAAAGTTTCCAGTGAGTGCTGATGTCTTAATCACGTGGGCCATCTTAATTGCAGGAGCCCAGGCATCAAGATCCTGCACCTTCCATCAGCTCCTGAAGTGCTGTGATGGACCTGTTGTTTAATATTTTTAATATCTTATTGTTAATATCTTCCTCTTTGCGTGCTTCGTCTCCACTTTAGGCATGACCAAAACTAAGACAAGACATTGGAGGGGCAAAGCTGTTTTGTCCCACCGCGCTTTGCTGACTGCATGAGCACAAGTGACAGTGCTGGGGAGCCCTTGGGCCAAGGAGCAGCCGGCTCACTTTCCCTTTGGCTGCTTGTGGAGTTGTGTTTTCCTAACCTGTGAGATGTTTGTTTGCATCACAACAGCATTCACCGGCTGGGGGATAAATCATTCAGCAAAACCCTCCACCACCCCCAGGGGCTTCTCATAACATCCACTCGAAGCTGCCTTTTTATCTCTCCTTCTCAGCCCAGATCATTTCAGGCATTGCCCTCTGCCCCCAGCCACCTGCCAAGAGGCAGCAGAAGCCATGCCCGGGCTTCCTGCAAACCTGTGTTGGGGAGAGGTTGCCGAAGGTGGATAGACCTATGCCTGTGCTGGAGATAAGCAGGAGCAAGCACTCAGGGCTTGCTGAGCTGGTCTGCAACACTCAGCCGCTTTATCATTTGCCTCTGTGGCCATGCAAGTGCTTGTGTAGATCCAGAGATCTGATGTTACTCCCATAGTCCCTAATCCCTCTGGACTGCGGCGAGCACCTGTCTCCGATAGCAACTGTCCTGCCTAATAAAGCATCTTGCCCACAGGAGGCACCTCTGAAAGATCACCAGCACCAGGACTAGCCTGCTCCTCACAGAAGTGTTGAAATTTTGCCCACTGATTTTTCATTTGCATGTGCTAGGACTCTGCTCTCTAGCATCAGGAATAGTCTAAGTCTAGAAACCTTTAGCAGTTCCAGGAAGCATGAGAAGTTATTTTTGCCTGTATATTTATCCTCCTCATTTCTTCTTCACTTTATTGCTGAGTCTGGCTTCTTTCCACCCTCAGAGAAAAGCAGCCCAGTGCTGAGTAGAGCCACTTCTACTGGGCTTGGAGCATCACTGCTCCACCAAAGGTTTCTGCTGTGGGACTCTGAGTGGGTAAAATGATAATTTCTCACTGGTAAAAGAGAGATCAACTACTGCTGAAGCAGCCTAAAGCCTACCTGGGCAGAGACAGTAAGCCCCTAAAATCCACATTCAATGCTTTGGAGAAGACCCTGATCTCGGGATTCTGCTCTTCTGTTTGTGGTCACATAGCTGTTGCACACATGCCTTACCTGGCTTTTGCTTTGACCACTTTCTTTTCCTAGCTTCATAAAGTTCACGAAGCCATCTTCGTATTCCCCTACACTGGCTGGCACTGCCCCAGAGAGCTAGCCAAACACAGCAGAGATAAACTCAGCTTTCCAAAGGGTAAAACCCGAGGCAGCAGAAGCAGGACCTCATAACTCCTTTGGGAGGAAGGCGCATGGCAACAAAGGCTGGGATTTCAAATGCTTGTGTTTTACCACAAGTGCCTGCCTGGCTAGCACACCTCCTCTGCCATGCTCTGTACAGTCTGATAGCAGTTCCCAACAGAAGCACAAAAGCACTATGGAGCCCCACCAGGGTAAGGAGTAAACTCCTGTTCTCAACAGAGAAATGTACTGAAAACAAATAACCAGAATATCCAGGGTACAAGCAAATAAACAGCAATAACAGTGTAACTTTATTTAGATTTAATTTGACATTTAGCACAGTAATAAGCACAGAAAGAAAGAAGTACCAAAATACTGAACTCATAGCATATAAAATAATCAAATATATTTCATATTTAGTGAAATATTTCTACAACACATTGGTGGGACTGCCCTGGGTAACCCTGTAAATATATATATATATTTAGCTGCATTATATAAAATACTGTATGTAGAGAAAGCACTGAAACTTATCACCAAAATATAAAATAGCTCAAAATACAGAGAGTTCAGATTTGCTAGTCATACCCAATATTGAAAAGAGGTTCAAACCCACGGTGGGAGATAATGTTCCAGCTTAGATGCCATGGCAGGCATGAGATGGCATTACTGGGCACAGGGTGGATAAAGGTAGCAGGAGCCGGGCTTGTGGGCCAGGCTCTGGACCTGAGCCGATGGCCACAAGGTGACAAAGTTACTGGTCCTCATCCAGGACTGTCAAGACATGTCCTAAGTGGAAAAGCCAGTGACAGTGTTGGTGCTTGTGGCTGGCGCTACACACCACAGGATGCCTGGGCCAGCGGCGTGTGAATGTCTGCGGGGAGGCTTCGACACCTGAGCAGCCGCTCGGGTCCCACAGGAGAGCCCGCAGCCCAGCCGAGCCGCCCCACAGCCCGACCTGCCTGGGCCAAAGGGCTTTCGCTGAGGAAGAGCTGCCGGAGCCGCGCTCCCGCGGCCCACAGCTGGCCTCTGCGGCTCTGCCTGCAGAGAGACTGCTCCTCAGCAGATGCACAACATCACAAGGATATTATTCTGAATTTTAAAGATGCCTCTTCAGGAGATGACAGTAATTAATTCCCATTAGCTTTAAAAAAAAATCCAGAAAGCTGCTTTTGTATGAGGCCAGACTCCCCCAGGCAATACCGTACATTTGCTCTGGTCTGGAGCGAGCAGTATATGAAGTAGCAACCCTGCTGCTACAGGACAGGAACACCGAGGGAAATGTTTGTCCTGGTGAAAACTCCCACCTGCCCTGAGGGTGATCAGGGTTAGTGCAGTACTTAAGATCCCAGGCAATTTGTAAATAGATACAAAAAATATGGCATTTCTGGCAGCAACACTGAAGTCCAACTGGGGTGGATGAGCCTCACCAGCACATAGCCCGGGTGCTGCTGGTGCCTCAGGCTGGGTGCTGGGCGGAGGCACCAGTCCTGGCAGCAGGGGTGAACCAAGGCCGTGCTGGGGCCATTTGGTTCCTGATATGCTGCTTTCCAGACAACATACTTTTGTGCTTGTTTGTTGCTTTTTGGCTCAATATGATAATTAATTTTCTTGACTAGTCCCACTAGGCAGGCAGCTGAGACCTGCCTGGAGGATCCCTCCTCAGGGGGTTTCAAGCCCCAGTGAGGCAGCACCGCGATGGGCTGCCCCTGTGCTGGCACCAACCCCACAGCGAGCTGGGGGCTGCAGGAGATCACCCCGGGAGCCCTCCCAAACCCTGTTTCTGTGCTTCTGCCATGCCATTGCGGAGAAGCCTATAACCCACTAATAATTCTGTAAACTGCTCTTTGTCATCAAGCCAGCAGTTGCATCCCTAATTACATGGCAACAATACTATGCTAACAGGATGAGCTGTAATTCCTAGGTGGTATTAGCGTTGTTACTTTACTCTGAGTAACTTCCTGGTAATGGCCATTTGAATGTGGCAATATCAATTAAGTGAATATAAATACTTAGCCCCTGGAAAAATCATTAATAAAAATTTCATTCTGATAGCCTCTAATCACAGCTAAATACAATTACTCATACGAGGCCACTATAAAAAGTATTTTGCTCATCAGAACTTCATAAGGTTTTCCCAACTGTTTGTAATAAAGAGGACACTATATAGAAAAGTCCAGAAAATAAGCACACGTTTGTTTCTCAAAAACCATAGATAAACATGACAATATCTCTAAATTATCGGCTACTGAACAGGATTTCATGTAGCTCTACTCAAGCTGTAGCCTAGTATAAATGTTTTCAAAGCAGCACGCTGCTGTTTCATCTGGAACAGCTGCACAAGATTTCTTTGATGTCAAGCTCTTGTGTGAGGATGGTGTTTCAATTCCTCTTTATGCCTCCAAACTGCTGAAACAGGAAGGAAAACACATTCAATAAAATAGGCGTTTTTCATTTAAAAAAAAAATTAAAAAAAAAAAAAAAAAAAAAAAAAAGAGCAAAATTTGGCCTTGAATGCATTACCAAGAAATAATTTATCACTGCAGTGGTAGCAGAACTACACTATGCCTCTCGCATCCCTTTGTCAAAGGAGACACAGAAAACATCCTGGCACTCTCTGGGCTCCCGCACTGCCAGCACCCGTGGCTAATGGCTGTCCTGGGCTTGGCCAGTGCGTGACCTGAGCCCACAGCCAGTGCACATGCACTCCCGTCCTGACTCCCCGCACTAGTGTGTACATCCCTCGTGTACTCCCCAAGGAGCATAAATACAACTAGCTGAGGAAGGTCTGCTCCTTCCCTGCTCCCGCCCAGGCTCCTCGAGCTTGGCAGTGCCCAGCACAGGAGGCTCCAGCTGCACAGGGCCTGCAGGACGTCCAAAATGACTGTGGCTGGTCATGACAGGCAGCTGAAGAAGGTGCTGCCCTACATCATTCGCCAAAGACTCTGTCTTATGCAGCGAGCAAACGTTTTCTAGATGGCTGTGTCCACAGCGCTCATTGCTGAGCAACCACAAGCGCTGCCTGTGAAGCACATAAGCGCAACCCCCCCTCTCAGACACCCAGCGCCTGCCAGTTTCAGGAGTCAGAGGCAGGAGCCACTGGTACGTCTCTTTTTCACAGCGCCCAGTGCGGAGGAGCCCTGTGCGGTGCCTGGAGGGAGGGGGATTGGAATGCCCTGCCTGCTGCCTGCAGAGCCAGCCCTCACAAGCCACATGTGTTTAGGAGGTACCAGAGTGGACAGCACAGATCATTCTCTTTCTATAGGGAGATAAGTCCGGGACATCGGGAGCAACTGGCAGGAAGACAGGCAGTGCAATGCAGGGAGAAGTGGCAAAACACTGTTATCTCCAGGCAGGATCTCTCTCCTGCACTTTGCAAAGCATTCATGTGGGTTTATTTGCCTTGCTTCATAAATATTTTCCAGAAAAAGGTTTGTTTGGAAACACTCTCAAAGCAGTGCTCAAGGAGTCTTCCTAGTGACCTCCAAAAAGTACATTTCCTAAAGTGTTTCCCTGTGCTTGTCTTTTCAGACACCCCTTTGCTGTACAATGTTTACTGGAAAAAACCCAGCAAAAGCTAAAAAAAGGCTGCTGAAAAAAGCCAGGGATTCTGTTTCAAAACCCAATGAGCTGATGAAAACAATTTCTGCCGGTGCTGCCGAGCTCTCACTCGCTTGCAGTGAGGGTCTGGGGCTCCCTGCGTGGCCGTTCCATTGGGCTCAGCGGTGCACACTCAGCTCACCCCCCCGACCAACTTACTGCTCTCCCACCGCAGGGCTGCCACTGCCCACAAACGGGATTTCTTCCCTGTCCGTCTTCCCCAGGACGAGATGGTGCTTCTCCATATTTATGACACACTGTGGAGAATAAATGCCTTTAGGTAAGAGGGAAAACTGCAGTTCACAGTGGTCCCAGGTCCCCCAGCATGGGTAAGAGCCCTGCTGGAAAACTCCTACCTTCAGAGATTTCAGTGTCTGCAGCCCAAAGGAGAAGGGTTTCTCGTTATCTTCTGAAAAATAGAAACATTCAGATTTGTACATGCAAAATGTTCTCCTGTGCTTTTTTCCAAGGACTTCATCCTTCCTTCATGGCTGCCCTGCTAAATAAAACCCTGTTTATAAAGGGACTGAGTTACTCCAGGCGGATACACCTCCGGGGAGACACGGTGTCACTCCATCAGCACGGCAGAGCCGAGCCTGGTGCCACCAGCACAGCCCTGCTGAACACATCCCCCCTCCTCCCTCCATCTCAAGGGCCAAGCAGGGACTCTTGCTGCAGAAAAGCAGTATTTCTATTTTAATTGTAACGTGTTTCTGAAGCTCCTTTTTTTCCCCTTGAGGTAAGAGGGGGTAGAGCCCCAGCCCGTGCCCAGGGGACCGGAGCAGCACACACACACTCACCCACGACGAGGGCTGCGCACTCCACAGGGACTGCTCCCACCATGAGGGCGAGGCACTCAATTTGGCCGATTGCCCTCACCTTGTACGGCAATGAAACCATCTTGTCGTCACCAGGGAGTTCTTTGAGATGCTCCTTTAACCTGCGCATTGAAAACACTTCTGACATGAAACGGCCATGGTTTGGCTGCTCCAGCAAGGAGCAAATGGTGTTTGGAGGGTACTTACACCTGAAGTGCTCTTAGCTTGCCCCCATTACCATGCTGTTATTGGAAAGCTGCTTTCCTGGCAGGTTTTCTGTGATGCTCTACATACAGCCACATCAGACCATAGCATGACACACAACACAGCCCTGGGGCCATGTCAGCCCTTGCCCCAAGGAGAGCTCCTTACTGGATTTCGCTTTTTGCCTGAGGATTCTTTTTTCCTGCATTTCCTCAAGACTTGGGGAAGCTGCTGATCTAAAATTGCCTCTAATGCAGCATGGGTGTAAGGAAGGGATACTCCACTCCAGCTCCCACCAGTGGAGCCACCATTTCCCCATGGCTCACAGCTGGGGCAGTGCTCCCAATCCTTCCTTGTTAGCAGGTACTGCTGCTGCTGGGTTTATTCAGAAGAAATGGGGACAGATCAATCACATTCAGCCTGAGAAAAGGATAAAAGGGTGTCAGGGATATCTTAGGTACAGTTGTTTCTTCTGTCTATGCCCCATGAATGAGTCTGACAACACTGATTAATTATTTAGCTTCAGTTTCCCTTTCAAACTGAATGAGAATCTAATGGAAAAGCAGTTCAAGGCAGTGATCTCTCGCTTGGATAAAACCTGTACTGTTTTTCAGCTATTTGAGGTACCTCTGCACTGCAGCAGTGTATGTCTGTCCATCCATCCTGGTGGCCAACCAGCCCCCCAGAGAGACAGAGGCCCCAGGACTGAGGTGGGGATTGCCCATGCCATTAGTGCAGGTACAAGGACCAGGAGAGGTAGCAGAGGAGTTGGATCCCTTCTGCCACTTCCCTTAGGGACTGGCCTTAAAAAGCAGGGGAAACATATCAAGAAAAGTTTATGAGCTCCTTGGCCCTGAGCTGGCTTTACCAACCTGAGACAGGTTGGAGTAGCTTTTTTGGGTGCAGAAAATTCCAACAGCTTCTCTATCAACTCAAGGGAAGACATGTGGCCTTTGTTTCCCCCCATTTATCCCCACCACAGGGCACAAGCCACAGTGCTGGAGCCAGGACTGAACAGAGCCAAGATACAGCTAGAGGGGGCTCCTTGGTCTGGCACTCACTGACCCAGATGGTTTTCCCAGGCCTGAGCAGGGCTGCAGAGGCTGCAGGGGCAGTGACAAGGTAAAGCCACCTTCAGGGAAATGCTTCATCACAGCTGAGACTGACCCAAGGATGGATGGATAGCGTGTGGGCAACACATGGCTGAAAGCCAGCCAGGAAACTGCAGCGAGGTGAGGAGAACCACTGACCATGATGCAGTGACACATCTTGGAGCTGGGTTTGCAAGTCTAAGGTGCAGTGACCAGAGCTACTCAGGTAAAGCTGCACCTACACCTCCGCAGAGGATTTCTTATGCTGCAGCAACCTGCAAGCAAACCCCACTGCTCTCCTCAGAGGCGAAGGAAAGAGCTTGAATGGCTCCATGACAAGATGCAAAAAAGATTTTTTAAAAAAAAGGGAGGAATTGGGCCTGTGCCTCAGGCACACACACATTGCTTTTAGATACTGAGTCCCCAGAGACTCAGCAGCAGGGCCCATCCCCAGAGCTGCCGAGCCTCCACTGCGGGCAGCAGCACCCAGCACAGCTCACTGCAGGGCCCCTCCTGCTCTGGTCGGAACAAGGGCAAAATCGCCTCGCACACCTCTTCCCTGCTGTGTTCTAGGGCTGGATTTAAACAAAACTCGTGTTTTATCGTTGCCACATGTGCTGGACAGCTTTGAAGTAAAATGTCCTGGAGCCGTGCCTGTTGTCGCACGGGACCTACCACAGCGACGGCAGAGCGAGCCAGGCGTCAAAGCTCTGGTTTTAACCCGTTTTGTTAATCTGGTTTTAGCTTCTGTCCCTGCAAATACAAACAGCAAAGGAGCTTTAGGAAGCTGCCTGCAAGGCAGCCCTGCCTGCTACCTGCCTGGCCAGCAGCGCAGGCGGGATGGGGCATCGCTCCGGCCACGCTGTCTGCCTGCACACGCAGTGTGGGTCTCGCACACCCACCGGTGTCTGTGGGGTCCCACCTGGCAGGAACCAGGAACCAGGTGGCTGATGAGTAACACTGGGGAGGGTCTCGCTCAAATCAGGAGGGAATCCCCATAACCTGAGAGCAGAAACTGGATGTAACCTATTTCTTAAGCTCTCTTTGAAGGGCGGGGACTGCAAAAGCTGGCCAGTGCTGCAAAAACTACACAGGGCACGCAGGAATCACAGAATCATCCAGGTCGGAAAGGACCCTTGGGATCACAGAGTCCAACCATCAGCCCTACTCTACAAAGCTCTCCCCTACACCATATCCTCCACATCTACTCCAAACGACCCTTAAACACATCCAGGGACGGTGACTCCACTACCATGAGTTACACAGAGAGCAGACGAACTGTCACAGAGCATCATTGTGCAACTCAGACATGTTGAGCAGCCAATACAGCATCTTGCCAGATGAGAGCCCCCCAAATGCATTGTTATCATCCATAAATTAGGTTGAGCAGCTCCACAGCCTGTGACAAGACTGTAGTAAGCACAGACACCTTCCAGCCACTAAACACTGTTGTGCAAAGAAGTAATTACTGTCTGGATGGAAAACAGGCACCATTCATTCAGGGCTGTGCAGTAGTGCTCAGGGAGCAACTGCAATTGGTTTTTGCATAATCACTGCAAGGCGGTGATAAAAAGCAATGACTCCATGGGAATAAAGTGCCAAAATCTCCTTGATACCCTGTGAGCTGATGCCTGATCCCACTCCTTGGAGATCAGCAGGAGTTTTGCTGCAAACAGCTGGCAGTCAGCATTCTAACACTATGTAAATGCATTTCCTTTCCATTCAACTGGGAGAAATTTGTTACTGGGAGTAGCAGCAGACACCAAATTTCGAGCACATGCATGTACATAGCTGCACAGCTGCTTTACACCCGGGGCCAGGGCCAGCAGTGCTGCAGCCACCGGATCCCTGCTTCGCCGCAGGGACCTGCAGGGCTGAGCTGGGATGACCCAGCCCCACGCCTGCACTGGGGACACAAGAAGGCACTGAAAAAATCCAAATGCATCCAACCCTCTGAAGGGATTTATTCAGAGGTGAGTATGTTGGTACAAGTGGCTTTCTATTTCAGCAGCCTGCAAGGACATTGAAGAATAAGGCAGGATTTGGTTGTAGCAGGAGGCTCGGGGGCTTGCCCAGGCACAGCACAAAGCACTCCCTTCCAGAATGGCCATTGCTGGCGTGAGCGAAGCCCCAGCCCCGGGAGCACTGCCTGTGCTGGCAGGTGCCCCGAGTTCCCACAGAACAGAAATCCAGCTGGATATTTACCCTAGCCTGTCCAGGCAAGCAGATGACATGAGGTTGTGCTGTGAGCCGGTGTCCACCACAGCCTTCAGCTCCTTCCCTGCACACTGCAAGAGCAAGCAGAGACGGGAGACAACATGTGGGGTGCAGGCTGAGTGCAGGGTGTCCCCTCCGCACCCGCTGCTTCCCAACGAAATGCCAACATCTCCTCACACCAGCCCATCCCCGCTCCACCGCACACTCAGTGCCCGCAGGGGATCACCTCGTCCACACCAGGCACCCAAGAGTTGGCTCTTGAGCTGCTTTTTGAATAAGATGGTGCTACTAAATGACACAGTGTTGGGTCCTGAGCCCTTTCTGGCAGCATTTGCCCCTGCAGAGAGCAGAAGGGGCAGCCCCAGGCAGGAGGGGATATCGTGGAGAGCGGGAAATACAAAAGGGTGTGGGGGCAAGGAGGAGAAACGTGAAATCACTCTTGGGGAAATAAAAGAAATAACACTTGAGGAAAACATATAGAATGTGAGCACAGGGTTTCACCATGCATAATTACTCCTCTGCATTTCAGCATGCTGCCCCAGCCTGGCTGCCCCCTCCACCCTGATGTCCAAGGGAAGACATCCACCAGAGCAGTGTTGTCTGCGACACTCTGAGCTGCAGAGGGAGAGCAGCCCTGGTGGAGTGCAACCCTAATCGGGAAACATGGAGAACAAGAGCACAGCTTGATGCTGTCAGAAATAAAATCTGGGGGAGAAAAACTCAGAAGGCTAGGGAAGGACTGTTACCTGGCAGCTCACCACAATGAGCTCCTCATCCTCTGTTTTGCTTGAGCTGCCCAGTTTGGTTTGATTCAGCTTGTTGGTCTGCACCGAGATATCACTCTTCGGGGTCCAGCTGCCTCGGCTGCTTCGTAATTTTGATAAATTTGTTTCCATCAGGCGCTTCTGCAGAATATTATGCGGTTGCTTTAAGAAAAAACACACACAGAAGATCAGGGTGAAATCAGAGGAAAGCCATGAAGTGACCTGCATTACCAGCCTGCTTGTGATGCCTGCGGGCCAGCGCTGCCCTCACAGGAGGGATGCCCTAAAGTCTTGCTCTCTCCGATTCCCAGACTACATGTGCTCTTCCTGGCCTATACCTGTTTGCTCCTGCCAGCTCTAGCTTACCTGGCTTTGACTAAAAATAAATACTTTGCATTGGTAAGGGAATAATCCTTTCAAAATATTAGCTGGAATTTAGAGCAATGCCTTTCTTTTTCCAACTTTAAGATTTGATTTCACATGGGAATCATATCAAGTCAGGCTTTTCCAAGCTGGTGTTTCAGTCATAATTGCCTTAATTTGTTGATAAGGATATCAATAATTCTGCAGTGATGTGAGAAGAGGTAACAAATTATCTTTCCAAATACATGCACCTCCTAAGTATGAAAAAGGTATGGACTTACTGAATGAACACAGATGCTTTCACTGAGCACTGGCACTGCCGGCATAGGAAATATGGGTGTCTTTCCTCCACTTGTGGCGATGCTCTTTGCGTGAGTCGACCCACAATTTAAGAAGCTGATTTGGGTGCCTGTGCATTGGTTCTTACAGGTGTGAGTGAAAAAGGCACAACTGCAAGAAGAGAGCTACAGATGGTGTCTGTTGTCAGACCTGGTCTGGCCTTTAGATCAGAATTTGGTCTGAAATGGCCCTGCATCTCTCTTCCCTCCACATTTGTATTTAGCAGCTAAGGGTAAGAAAATGGGACCAATACTGGGTGCCATGCCACAGGAGGGAAAGGGAAGGAGCGGAAGACAGTGCGAGGTAGATAGGTAGGTATTCTCCTGGGAACACCCAACACTTCATACAGCAGCTTCTCACTTTCTCTTTCATTTTTATTTGCTCTGTGAGAAGCATGTTGCCTCTCAAAATCTCCTCCAACTGCTTTCCCAAAAGCCTTTTTATGTTTAATGTTCATCATGGATGGCTGCACATACTCTGCTGGAGGTGAAATTACTCTGCTTGATTATCTGTTCATTTCTCTGCCTGGATAATCTCCCTCCCCCCAGCCCCCTTTACTGCCCTTTTCTCCTGATTTCAATTTGTCCACAGTGAGACCTTCTTACTGGCTTAATTCCTGAAATTTTGCATTCATATTAAGTATGCCTGTGTGTCTGCAGAGTCATCTAAATGAGAAAATCTCCTCATCCCAAGGGAATTTCAATGGGCTCAGGATAACATTGAAAACCTTGGGCTGTGGTTCTCCAAGTTGGCCAGCGTTCACCCTCGTGTGCAGTGTCTCATCTTTAAAATACTCTGCAGCATGTTAAATAACAGCACTTACAAAAGGCTAATGCAACTTGGCACCATCCTAAAATAACTACAACCATGTTAGTGCTTCAGATCCTGCTGGAGGCGTAACACAGACGGTTTAACTGGACCTGACTGATGAGATCAGGTGGATGCAGCCAACACCAGTGGTCACTGGGACACGTAATCTCTTTTTTTTTCCCCACTTTGCGCTGTTCTTACTTCTGCATACAGCCTGCAACTTGAAAAGAAGTAAAATTTCATGACCGTTTTCAGTTGCAGCAGCTGTGTCTGACCAGCTCACTAGAGAGCACGTCCTGTGTAAAGGCAGCAACACAGCCACACTCCCCGCGATGGTGAAAAATCAGATCTGACACTGTGCTGTCCCTTCATCCACAAAAAGGAACAAAGCTCCAGAGCTGCTCTGGTGAGCACCACCTTCCCAGTGAGACTGAACAGCATAAACCAGTATTACTTAACTAAATGCAGGCAGACTGGCTCCATTAGCAATGCACCCTGTACTGAGGGACAAGCAAATCACTTTGGAAGCAAGGGCTGCCTTACATGAGGCAGAAGCTGTAGGTGCAGAGGCAGCACTGTGATCACCTCCAAGGCTCCTCATCTGAGCAAAAATGTAAGCCAGGGTTTGCTGACAGTGGATGGCACATCCTTCTTAGCCTTTATGTTTGCCTGGAACTCAGGGACACATCTGGAAAATTAATTCCTCACATCATCAAAAAAACCCCGAATGAGGGGATAGGGGACTGGAGAAGTAGATGGGTGGAGTTCCCAGCTGGCCAGAAGAAGTCTGTCACACAGTGGTCACATCAACACGCTCAGCCCTGCTCAGCTAGGACTGAGAAATTTTGGAATGGCATCACCCAGGACAGTCTGGGTGCTCTTCTGATCTGCCTGGTCTCAATCATATTGCCAAATACCTTTGAAAGAACAGGCTGTAGAAGAACAAGTCACCAGCACACTCATCAGTGCTATTTTAACTGTCATCTATCCCTGATCTAAACCTAAGGGGTTTTTTACTGCAAGTTCTCCTATGGATCATTAACCAATTATGTATATGGGTTTTCTCAGGCCCTGATTTTATGAATCCTATATGGGATCCATCACTGAAAGGAAAAAAATCCATCGCACAGCAAACACAAGTTACCACCACAGATGGGACTGTCTTTTGTTGACCCTTGCTGTTCTGAAAGCTGCAGCGCATCATGCCCTTGGGGGGACAAATGCTGCTTACGTTGTGCTCCAGTACAGAAATAATCTATCAAGAGGGGGCTGAAAAGGTTCCCTGCAGCACCATCCTGTCTCAGGCTGTTAATTAGTTTGCTTTAACTTGTATTTCCCTTGACTCTTGTGTGCAACAGAGTGAGAGATGTTGGTCATGGCAATGACTCAAGTGATGGATGCGTACTTGGTAAACAGATAATGTACCAGGGGACATTTGCAAATGCACATTTTGCTGGAAAACTGTAAGCAGACCATGTCAGGGAGGGACAGAGGGAGGGAAAATCTCCCCGTGACAGTGATGGGGAAGGCAGCCATGTTTTCCCTCCAGCACGGGCCAAACACACAGCCAGGATCGGTGTTTGAAGTAACCTAGATTGTGGGGTACTGTCTTCCTGTGCATTGCACGAAACTGTTAAAAGTTTTGTAAAAGACAAAATGTTACATACCAACCATTGTGTAAGTGCAAAAAAAATATTATTTCCTAGTATCTTTCAGCACAATATAAATACAAACCAGGATTTTTTTTCATAAGATATCTCCCTTTCCATCCCTGAGACTTTGCAAAAACACATAATCCCCTAAAAAAGTCACAGTACAAACCTAAAAGGAGTGGAGACAACAGCTATTGCTGAACATATTTACTGCTTTCTGTCAAAATCACAAATAATTCTGTCCAGTTTTGTTCCTCTCTAATTTATTAGCAAGTGCATTGCCACAGTTTGCAGTATCCATCTCTCTGGCAGGTTTCCCATTATTTTGGCTTCTAGATCTGGGGATAACAAGACCTGTCAACAACAGTTTCACTCAGGTGGAGATGCAAGTTGGTGAGGATGCCAGCTCTCCTCCTCAAACCTATCTCAGGACAATTTCCCTCTCTTCTGTACCTAGCCAGTAGAAAAAAGGAGTTTTAACACTCCAATAGAGCTCATCCCAAGAAATAACCAATTTCTCTCTTAATCCTCTTCTTCATCCAAATTCACCTCTTCTACCAGCAGCCTGTGCTCATGTGCTGTCAGCCCCTCTCGCAGGGGGATGAGGTGGGACAAGAGATGCCCGCTGCTCTCCTGCGGCCCCTGGATGCCCAGGCAGTGCCTAGGTCTCTGACAGTGCATGTAACATCAAAGTTGTTTGTATCTTAACCAAGACACAACAAACTCTGGGGAGCTCACAGTGGGAAAACACAAAAACCCAAATGCGCTGCAATTAACTGCAATGTTGCACCAGCTACAGGAGCAGGGGACGGGGCCACTGGGGCACCCAGAGCTGTGCTGAGGACCCAGGCACCCAGGGAAAGCTCTGAGGGTATTTTGGGAGAAGGAAAGGCTTTTTTTGTTTTTTTGTTTGTTTGTCACTATTTGTAACTTTGTTTCCCAGGTTGTAAAGTGATGCAGGACTGTTCCAGGGTGAGGGCGAAGCATGAGAGCCTGAGGAGGAGCTGCCAACAGCCAGCTCGCCCTGCCCAAATTAGGCAGGGGGTGACGGTGTCAGGAAGCCCAAAACCCAGCTAACAACCATCTTGTGCCAATTTTCTAGGCTTCGGGGATAAGGCTAATAGTGAGACATCAAAACCATTTCTGCTCTCTATACCCAGCCCTACGTTTGCTGCATCCAATGTATGCTATGCACTAGTGTAAGGAACTGAAGGAATTAATGCCTCAAACACTCATCGACTGAGAAAACCTCAAGGACAAGCTGTGACCTTTGTGATTACCCTAAGGAATGCCACCCAAGGAAGCGCAGAGTGTACTGAAGGATGCACGTCCCTGTTCCCTTACAGTTGTATTGACAAACTCCTTACATAAGCCTCAAAGGGGGGAAATGCAGACTGAGTGAAACCAAATGTTTCTCAGCAAGCACAAGGTCTGCTAATCACTGGCTCCACTGCATAAGCCTGAAGAGTTGATAAGGACTGATAAGAGGTGAGGATCCAGCAGCAGAAGCTGGATGATTGCTCAGGAAGCACGAAGTCAGCAAAAATCTGTGGGAACCAGGAGAGAAGTAAAGGTGGCAAGGGGACATCATGACCACGGACTCAACGTGTACTCACAGAAATGAGTTTGTGGAATACCTGCCTCTCTTGGACTAGTACGCTAATCAGCTGATAAGGTGAACTTAAAAGGCAAGAGAAAACTGCTGTGTGTGCACCCACCACCCAAAATTACCAGACCTGAGACAACGCTGGAACCTAGGGGTGGTGATCTGGATTTCTTTGACTCTCCTTCTCTCCTTTTTCTTCTCTTTCCTTTCTTTTCTTTCTTCTAGATTTATAAGACTGAAGTGTTTACTACCCTTTTCCAAGTTTAAGCTATTTCTACTGCAAGTAAAACATTTTAACTGGTTGTCTGGTGTCACTTCATCTTAATTTAACCTGAGGGGATCACAGAATCTTAACAACTCTCTGGGCTCCCAGCCCAGGTCATAACAACTAGATAACCACAGTGTAATACATAAAGGGAGCGAGAAGCTAGAAGTTTTGGCACAACCCGGAATAACAACACTGAAATATATTGGAGGCTTAATATAGATAATTACAAGTATTTATCAAACCTGCCCATATGGGGCATCACCATGAGAGATGCCTCAGGAGCCAAGTAACAAGACACAAGCTGGGGGATGCCAGCACACCTGCCCTGATGATCTGCTGCCACCTCACAGTGCACAGCACCCCCTCCACTGCAGCCGAAGGAAGGGCATTTCTCCCCAGAATGGGAGTGGTCACTGGCAGCTGTCAACCTGCCAGACAGGGTCTGTCCTCACAACCTGTCCCCATCTCTGGGGAGCTGTTACCTTCTCTCTTCTGCTGAGGCCATTGGAAAACCCCCGTGGGAAACCCTGCATTAATAACACCAGTCACGTCAAAAGCTCTTCCACCCACGTCACCACAGCTTTCATGCAGCTCTAGACAGGAAAATGTGCTGCTTTGTTAGGAGGTGCACAGTTATTCACAAGAAAGGCGTGCAAACACCCTGGGCAAAGACTCCTGATGCCCTGGGCCTCTTGACTGTGTGGCTCAACCCCTCTGGACCCGGGCCTCTTGGTCTGGGGCCATGTCAAGGTGGGGTCCCACATTTCAGAGGCTCTTGGTGCTTCTCCAGTCTCAGAGACACACGATGTCATGCTCTTTCTGGAGACAAATTTTGTGACATCCACGCAGCCACAGCACCAAGGAGACAGGGTGGGTTCTCTTGAAGTGATGCTCACTGCTGTCGCAGCCACGTGCTGTGTGAGCATGGTGGTGCTGGCAGTGTTGCTTCTCTGCAACATGACCCACTGCAACAGCTCTGAAATTCGTGGTATCTTCCCTGTGGCTGTGAGAATGGGCCTAAGCACATGCCAGTGCTGTTGCTTTGGGGACTCCCCATACATCCTATGGGGCAGGAGGCTGTGGCCAAGGTGAGCCCTGGCCACATGTGCCCACTGTCCCATCAGCCCTGGCTGTGGCGTGGGGACAAGATGGTTTTGCAGTGGGGTGGTCCATACCAGGTTCTCAGCCCAGCCGGAGACCTACCACAGCCAGGGTAGCCAGGTCAGGCAGCACACATCTGCCATGTCAAACCTCCTTTTTGTCCTTGGAGGGGATCAGAAGCTGTGGACTGTCCCAGAGCTTCAGCACATCCCTGGAGAGCGCCCCCCCCCCCATGCAGACCCTCCTCGCAGGGGCTGTGGTGCATAGCAGGAGTGATGTGTGGCTCAGCCGGCACAGGATCAGGGAGTAAACCTCTGGTGTTTCTGTGACCAGAGCCATGGCAAGGGGCCCCATGCTCTGCCCTGGCACCAGGGCCAAATCTGGTCCTTGCTGCTGCAGGGACAAGGACTTCAGTTCTCAGTGCCCCTGGCTCCTGCTACCTGTTGCCTCTTGCCTGGGCAGAGCAGAAATCCCTGTCATCAGGGTCTCAGCCCTGCACACTGTGGGTCACTGAGCCACAACACGCTATTTAGACTCTGCAGATAATAGTAATAACACCACCAACATGCTCTGAAAGGCACTTTGTAGCTCCATGATGGAGAGCTGCCATTCAATGCTGACCAGAACAGCTCCTTCCGAGCCTTTCCCTGGGCAGGAGCTTCACTCCCTACAACTGCAAAACATTTGGGATGTCAAAAAAAAAATCACCTCCATGCGCATTGCAGAGAACCGCCAACTCATTCCACTTACCTGAGCCAAGCAGAGCCAAGCCTAACCCAGCTGAGCAGGAAAGCTCTGACAGAACAAAACTACCCCACTAAAAAGAAAAAGATTCACCTTTTTCAATGAACCTGTACCAAGCATTGAAAAAAAAGCAAATACTGTGTGTTACAGGGTGCAAGAATTTTGCAACAATTGGGCAAAAAAAAGTAAAGGAGCATTCCTCAGTAGTATATATTCTCCAGGTTTTGCTCCTTATATTAAAACTTTTGATGTTACATTTAAATGTAGTTTCCCATTAGAGAAAGCTCAAACGTTTGTGCACATTAGTATTTAGAAATGCTCTCCAGCCCCTGGACATGATGAAGAATATTGTATGTCAGCTACAGGATCACAGGGATCATTGCATATGTAAATATTTGAAACCTAGAATTATATATCTTCATTTTAAAAACCCCATATGCATATGCCTTTATCAAAGTGTAATCTTGGCAGTTTGATATTTTGAAGTACTAGTGACTGCACTTTACTGAATCTTTCAGGATTATATGTTGTGTGTATACATGCACAAACATATGTGTATATATGTATGTATTATATGAAGCCATTTTGATTTGTTCTGATTCAGGGGATTTTTTTTACTGAAAACAATATCCCTTTTTTATGTAAATATAAAAAAAAAAAATCAAAAGCTTTTAGAACTGAGTGCCAGGCATCTGACAGCACCTACTAGCAAAAAGCAACCCTAGTGATAACTAGCGTTGTATTTCTACTCCTTTTCTTTTACATACAAAAGCCTTAATTTTAAAATTAATTTCCACAAACAATCAACTTCTGGCACAAACAAAAAATTAGACACTGCCCTACTTAAGTCTCCTTCAAATAAACACAATAAAGCCTTACAGTATCTTTTGAAGTCCCCAGCTTCTTCAGCCCATCCAGAGGGAGGAGATCTGCAGAATCCTTGTGAATAAACTGAACCGCCTGCTTCATCCTCCTCTGCTGGCGGAGAGATGCTGCTTCCCTTATCTCCACTTCTTTTCTACTCGGTTCTGTCAGGATACCTGAGTAAAACATCTTTCCACCTGCGTACAGCTCGCTTCTCAAAGATGCGCCTCTCGGAGGGATGGAGCCGGGGAGACGCTCTATCGCCTGCGCTTTATAACCGGAGCCCGGTGACGTCTGGAGACCGGCAGGTACTCCAGCCAGCACCGCCGAGTAACGGAGGGGTTGGGCACATCGTAATACGTTGCACAAACAACGGCGGGTGAGCTCAGGCTCCGTCTAAGGGAATAAATCAGCACTGTTCCTCCTCACTGCCTCTCCTGAAAGCGAGATTAGCTGCAGGCATCCGACGGCTCTCAAAGCCCCCCAGCAGCCGCAAGGGCAGAAAGGGGAGCGCCAGAGCATCAGCACAGTGCCCCGGCTCTCCCTTTTCTGCCCGTGAGGCTGCTGGGAGACTTCGAGAGCTGGAAACAGCCCCGGGAGCCAGCGCGCCCCCCAGCCAAGCTCTGCAGGCACGGCTTTTTCTGGCCTGGATGAGAAGTCTGGAGTGTCACGGCAGGTGACGGCTGCCCAGCACCCAGGCGGTCCTGGATGCCGCTGCCCCACGGGGCTGGGACCATGCAACTGGCCATGTTGAGGTTTGCTACCTTCTGCCTGGGGCCAGGGGGTTAGGGCAGGCTCTGGACGCCACTCTGGATCACTGAAGCATTGCAGGCAGCACCCATCCGCATCTACTCAAGTCCCAAGAAAGGGTAAAGACTGTCATAATCTTCTCAGTCGAACTGGGACACGCCAAATGTGCTTTTATACAGGGTTCCTGTACCCACCAGTGTTCAGGTGCAGCACAATTTGTCTTGCTATAGCTCCTTATCTCTGATGCCAAACGATGCTGGAAGTGTTTCAAAGACATGTTGGAGGGTGAGGATGCTGGTGTTATCTTGGTTGTCCAGGGGTATCCTTTCTCCTTCATGGGCAGCTCTAGGCTTCCAAGAAACAAAGTCCTTATTTCTGGGGCAGGGCTGTCCTTTAACTTGTTTTACTTAAATATGAACAATACCAAAGTCTCCAGTAAAATTCCACTACCTCATTACACTACAGTGTATAACATGAACTAATACACATTAATAAACTTAATGAACTTTAATACTATAAAGACTGATTAATAATTAGGGAAGGGAATTTTCTTAACAGGACTTACAGACCTTGTGGGTTTCTCTCACTATAACAGAGTTTTTAAGTGATGTATCATCTCTCACCAGAAAGAAACATTTTTTTATTCCTTTTTTTTTCCCCCCAGAAGGACCCACACACTTTCAGCAGTACAGCTGAAGCAGCAGGTACCCACCTGAATCTCCTTTCCAAGTAATTTGTTGCAAGGAATAGGTGCAGGAGATGATGCAGCTCTGCCTCAGAGAGACAGTACAGATCCAGAAACACTCCACATGGGTTTGATTCTTGTTAAACTAACAGGGACCTTAGATGTGCTAGATAAAGCATGAGAAAAGCAGAGCTTAGCCCAAGATTTACATCAAGCCTGACTTCCAGGGCACTCCTAACCCTCAGTAGGACATGGGGTGCTGACCCCACTTTGCTCTCCCCCACTAATGCAGCCTGGAATCACACCTTCCACTCACAAAGACATCATCAGCTTTTGTCCCACTTCAGGGAAACACTCCTGTCTCTGACAGGAAAGGAATAGGGGAAGCCAGGGAAAAATACTGCAGAAAGAGACCCAAAGTAATGTGGAGGAGAGGAAAAAGAGGGGTTCCCCTGAATGCAGCCAGGGAAAGACATTCCCCTTGCAGCAACTGAGATGTATTGACAAAAAAAAAAAAAAAAATAAATGAAAGCAATGAAAATACCGAGCAGGCAGAGTTGCTTTAAACCACAGCACCACAGTTTTTCCTTCCTCCCCGCCCCCCCCCCGACTGCTGTGAAGCCCTGAGTGGGACAGGGGCCAGGCAGGATCTGGCCCCCAGCAGCTGAGAGCTGCAGCCAGCCCTGTCCTCTCACCTTGGCACAGAGCCATCTATTTCTTTATCTTGGCACATTCTAAACATAAAGCTTAGTTAACATGAGGGCGCTGAAGGATGACAGAAGCCCCTTTGCGGGAGGGTCGCTGACAGCCGTGCCCACACCAGCACCATGTGGCCCCAACTCCTCACATGAGGAGCAGTGCTAACACCGAGCAGGGCTGATGCCAGCTGCTGCCACGATGCCAAAGTGGCAATGCTGTGCAGGCAGACTTATACCTCTGACATCTGCAGCCATGGCCAGACCTGAATATGTTCAGTCCCTCCTCATATGATCTGGTAGAGAAGGGGAGAAAAAAAAAAAATCAGATAAGAGTGCAGAATACAATAAAACCCATACCCATTGCTCACATAAAGGCCATTACGTGTGAGCCAGCCTGAGCTCAGTGAATGTGTCAGTGTGCAGAAGGATAACAGGGCTGACAGACTGAAGGGGGATATAATTTTTTCTCCCTGTGCTGACTCGACTCATTATACGACAGGTCCATTGTTCCAGTACAGGCAAACATGCCCAAGAGGATAAAAGCACCTTATTTTTCACCTTGGGAGCTATTTGGCACTTATCCAACTCTTTAAATAAAGACATATGACTACATCCACACTCTCCCAAAGGCAAGGAGGCACAGAAGAAAGCAGAAGGACTGCCACTGAAACCAGGAGACAATTTTTAATATAAAAGCTCTTTGGGGGAGTAGCACCCTGCCTGGCATACTAGCAAATGTCCAGTCAGCTCTGGCTTACAGCAAGAGGAGTAAAGCTGCAAGAGGAGGTAGATCATGAAAAGCCCCCTCACACTACAGCTCCAAGGCTGCAGCCTGTGTTTTAATTCATCAAACAAGCATTTTGCCCGAGCCCTACAATTTCACTTCTGCTGTATGTTACAAATGCACTCTCTGCCAACAGATCAGAAGAAAAACTGCCCAGTACTCAAGAATAATAAATGAGATAAAGACCCTAATTCCCCTCTTGATTTTCAATCCTGGGAAAGAGGAAAGTGGGAGGAGCAGCAAATCATCTGCTCAAATTACTCAGGATCCACACTGAAACAGGGGCTCGGTTTGGATACTTTGAACCCAGTGGTTAACTCCTGAGTTGGTCATTTGTTTGTGACAGGTTAACCAGGGGCATTGCTCCCCTCCCTGTATGATGTGTCTAAACAGGGGCACATTTCAGAAGAATTCCCATCCATTCACTGGAGACAGGTCTGTGTATGACCATTGCCCCCCACTGAAGAACAGCCCCAAGGGACAAAACCACCTTTCTTTCTCCTTCCTGACTCCAGAGCAGCACACTCGGTTCCCTGCACAGTGTAACATCAAGGCCGGTGTCAAAAAGTGGCTTCACAAGGCTGTGATCAAGAGAACCCCTGCAGCCCGGGGGCACTGGCCCTGCCCTCCAGCACAGGCTGGCTCTGCCACGAGGCCGGGATGCCCATCGCTGCCAGCACGGATGGGTGGCACATGATGGAGACCCGAGGGAGATAGCCCCAGCAGCCACCAGCAAAGCTGCCACATGGGCATGCCCAGGGCATCTGTTGGCCCAGCAAAGCCAAGGACAGGGGTACTTTTGACCAGAGTTTCCACACTCTCTACAAACAGAAAACAAAGGGAAACGCTGCTCTCCCTGGCCTTTCCAACATGCCCTTTGCCATCACAGCTGGGGACAGGGGAAGGTAGCGCCTAAGAGCAGCACAAGGGCCCTTGGAGGGAGGGGAGAGGACATGCCACATTCAGGAGCTTTTTAGCCACCCTGCACAAGAGACAAAGCATCACAGGTCCTGCTTGCTAACACAATTTGTTTTACACGTGAGTAAACTGACTGAGCTAAACCCCAGCAATTTCATACCCTGATTTGCAGCTGATTTATCCTGGCCTAGTACCCAGCCACAGTTGCAACTTAATCAGTGTAAGGAATGAAGAGCAGTGGAGTTTTGTTCACACCCCCATTTCATCTCTTCTCTTGATGAAAAGAGAAGCAAGCAGCAGGCAAAGCAGGAAGTGGGTCAGTCCTTTTTATTTTTTTCTTTTCTTTGATTTCTCAGCTTTCCTTAAAAAGAAATGATTTGTTAGTGGTTGCTATATCCTGAAGAGATGCAGAGATGCCCCAGAAAATTCAGAAGAAAGGACATAGTGGTATAATTTAACAGAAACAGAAGCAGCAGCAGACAAGAGTCCCAGAAAGAATAATTTACCTGAGGACAAAGTGAATACTTTAGAGAAAGAGTTTCCAGAGGGAAGACTGAAGAGCTCAAGAAAAAGAAACCACAGTAACTGACGTGGAAAAAAGTTATTCTGTCCATCAGTGCAGGATATGTAAGGGTCAGCTCTAACATAATCAGGCAAATAATTGGAATAATTCAGAGACTAGAAAACTGTTTTTCTAAAAAGGTTGGATACAGAAATCCTGAAGGATTCAGTGAGCTTCCTAGTAATTTTTAGCAAGAGAAAGACTACCGATAGAGCTGGAGAAATCCTACAACATATAAAGGCAGAATCAGTTTTAGATTCCCGGGATGTGACCCGTTTTGTACAGTAACTCCACACCCACCATCTGCGTTTCTGGTGCTGACCAAGAGAAAGGGCCCCCTGGGCTGGGATCCAGGCCCCATCACAAGCACGAGCACTTCACGGAGGTGCCTGTTCCCAGGGCAGCGCTCTCTATTTAACCTGGGTGCAGCTCCATCCTCCTGTCCCCCTGTGCAATGCATGAGCTGGTGACATCAGGTGTGGAGCAGGGCACTGATGATGCCAGGAGAGGAATCAGACATTGTGCAGCTTGTCAGAGGAGACCAAACAGAATTTATCTGCTAAGTTTTCTTCATATATGGAAACAACAGGTGGACAGGTTTCAGGAAGACAAAAAATGCATGTGTCAAACCAAGCGACTAAAATGGCAAGTCTTGCTTGCTCCCTTACCTCTATTTTTCCTGTTTTAAATAGGCTGAAACATCTTTCTAAAAAAATTAAAAGCACAGGAAGAGTTGGTCAGGGAAACAAATGGTACACTTCCTAGCATCTTCCAGTGCATACCTCAGCCAACTACTGGCTAGGAGCTATTTGTGGCTGATGGAGCATAAGAACAGGTTCTGCCTCTGGAGCTTGCAAAGCTGTGCTGGTAACTGTGCTGCACTGGGAAACCAGGCTGGGCCCCTTCCAGGTCCCATGTGAGCCAGGGAGGCAGCTGTGGGTTCCATGTACCGGCAAAGGGGCAGGTGGGGGATTTGGGACAGGGTGCCAAGGGGAAAGGGAGAAGCTGGCAAGCACTGGGGAAAGGATAAGAGGACAATACATATAGGGGCTGGTGTCAGGGACAGAAAGCATGGCCTTCCCTGACCTCCACATCATAGAACCAGCAGGAATGACCACAGCTCTTAGCAGAGATAACAGTGGCTGCTGTGCACCGAGTCGCACCACTCCT